ATTTCGGGGTTCCTGCACCCAAGATGATCTTGGGTCCTTATGTTTGACACATACCCGTGTGACCTTTCTCGACAATGAATAGTTGAGGGATTGACGACGGTCCATAAATTGGCACGCGCCCTTAAAGTAGCAATCAAGAAAGAGCCTTCTCTTGAGGTCGCCAGATATTGCCAAAAACAGGCGACCCCCAAGGGGCCCTTTGTTGCGGTGGCTTTGCCTTTGCTGGCTTTGAACCTCATCCAAAGCAGGACTCCAGGATTCCAGGATTCCCTAATTCTTGTCATGCTGCGCGGGGTCTGGCCATTAGTGCCCCCAGTACGGACCATGCGGCGTTGGCTCGGATCGACATATTGGTCGAGACCCCTTGAATGAGTTCGCTTGTCTTGCCGCTACACATCACCAAAGAAACTCAGCTAATACGAGTCAAATCTTCTTGTAGTTATACGTAGTGGTTTGAACGTGAATTGTACACACACACAAGCAAACAAGCGGAAACTAGCAAAACTTGACGGGCAAGCACCCATGTCATCCTACAGTAGTCCTTGTTCCCCACATCCCTGACTGTCCATCCAAATGCCAGATTCGTACTCAAAACTTGGTTGCCCTTCCGCCACTTCGCGTTCCCCATCCTCAGCCAGGGTTCTGCCAAACTTGCCATGTGACCCTAGGGGCAGCTCAATGGACCCGGTTCAACGGTCACCAGGTAGCGATTTTACATCCAAGCGGAACTGGTCAACAGTCCCATGCCCTGGCCAAATCCTGTCATCGTTCAAAGCTTCTTGGATTGTCATCCAGTCCCTGTCGGCGTGATCCACTACATGTAAACAACGGATGCTTGGTAGGAACCATTCGTGCATGGGCGGTGTTGAAAGAACACCTTTGCATTGGCCCAACTTGTGTCGTGGCCTTCCCAAGGCCAATCTCCGAGAAAGCGGGACATTTCAGAACGCGCAGAACCGCTAACACCGGCGCAACCCGCGCATCGAATGCTGGCAGGGTCCTGTGTCCATGGCCGAATGCCATGGCCAAGTCCTTCCTTTCCCGGGACGGTTCTCGAGCCCAAGGAACCTGCAGCCATCCACCTTCGTTGCGAGACACCGAAGTTTTTTTCCCGGAAAAAAAAGGCCGGAATCCCAAGCCACATTCCTGGGAATGGGATCCTGCGTGGTTCCTTCCGTTCATGGGGGGGGTAACCTGAACAAATCAAGTGAAACAACCACATCCAAACGCAAACAACATGCTGACCCCAAATGCTGGCAGTATTTGGGACAGACATGTTCATGTCTTTGAAACCGGCAGGGAAACACGCAAGATTGCGAAGGGGCCAAGAAAGCAACCATAGATCTGGGCAATTCCCGGAAACAGGCTGGTAGTGATACAAGGGCGGCTTCCGAGATGCCAGAACACGTATATTTAACAGAGTGGTGAGAGGTAGCAGGCTTATGACCAGGAAAAACGCCCCTTTCTGCGACATCTTTGATACAGTGGGCATCCCTTTGGCTGCTTAATTGGTCACCTCAAAGAAATAAGCGAAAGGTTTCACAGCAAGTGGCCCCCAAAGCACACCATGGAGGGTGCACAACTTTAAGACCATTTTCCTGCGCGCCGAAAAAAACCAGGGGCACATCTCTCAGCATGCAAGAACCGTCAGCCAAATACGCAAGGATACAGAGGTGTCTATTTAGGGGCACCAACAAAAAAGTGGCTTTCCTTTTGGCTTTCGTTGGAAGCCAGAAGAAAAGGGTACCTTCAAACATATGTATATATATATATATTAGCTGGGATCGGCGATTTGCTTCACAAGCCCTTTTGAGGCATTCACTCATTTCTTCTTCCCTGCTCACTGCAGAGGTTCTCGAATGCTGGTTGTGTGGCGCTAGTCCAAAAGGCTTGCGCCACTCCGGACTTGAATCAACAAGATTCCTTGCAGGAAGCCACTCAGTTGTTCAGTGACCCTGGAAAAAAAGGGAACCCTTTCTGGGGAAGACCACTTTTAGTTGAGCAGCCACCAAAAAAAGAGGAAACAGGGCGCCACTGAACAACTGAGATCCAAAGCCACCCTTCCTTACAAAGGATCCTCTAGTGAGTTCTTGAGGGATACATCCAACACTCCTTTTCTGACTGGCCCAAAAAAGTAACCAAACAAATTTTTGGCCACCAACGTGCTCTTCCCCAAAGGTAAGTCCATGAACTCAGGGAGTGAGAAACCCTTCTTTACAAGTCCTCTAAATCAGCTGGTGGGAGTTCTGAGGAGCCCATCCCAGGGCCGCCGCTGGAAGGCTGCGATGCCTGTCGGATGGCAAGCTGCACCATGGACTCGTGAAACAGGGGATCTGCTACCAAACAACAAACACATCTTGCCACTTTGGGTTCATTTGGGTTCGGTGTTGTTGTCTCTGCTATGATGGGTCATGTAGGCTATGTAGCACTATAGCTTGCTTTTCGCGTTTACTTCCATACCCGCACATCCAACAGCTCGACATTTCAAGCACTTCTCATCGCTGCTTTCTACATCAGCCCATATTAGTATTTCACCAGCGACGAAAGCGCGACAAAAGGTCGGCCGTCGCTGGCCAGCCAAAAAGTCTCTGCGCGTGGGCGTGGAAGGATGTTTGTCGAAAGTCACGAAACAAGCTCGCTTGCATCTCGACACAAGCTAAGGAAACCAGAAGGATCCTGCGAACATCTGTGGACCTATAATGGTTGCAGTGTTTGGCGGATGTTGCATCACGCGAGCAATCCTGATGCTATTCTGCTTTGCTAAAATAGCTGTGGGTCAAACATAGGTACCCAAAATGGCACCCTGGTAAATGGAAACAATGAGCAAAACCTGCGGTCCCCTGGTGGTCTAATTTTGGCCCATACCCAAATAGTTTTTGTTGTGGTAAGCAAGACGAAAATCGACTTCATGCCCAGCTCCAGCAATCCAGTGGTCAAAACGGGAGACCGTTTTGCGGATGAATAGATGGGTGCTTCTCCCCAGTGATGGATGTCCTCTACAATTAATTGGGCACTCCCCGTTTTGTCGATCAAGCCACGGGGTTGTCCTGGGCTCCCCATCCTTGCAGCATACCCAACCAGGCCTACATACGGCAAACATCTCTGGGCAGCATCATATATCTCCAATACGTTATGGACATGACAAAGATCCCACATTTTCCCTTAAACCATCACCACCACCAAGGGACACTCACCTTTCATGGGCGGAAACAGGTGATGTTTAACATCACTAAAAATGGAAGTATAGGGACCCCTGTACAATACGTCACATGTGTCTGCAAACGCCCACAAGGCTTGGACACTGCTTCAAAGCTGGATGACCCCCCTTGGCCCGAAGAGTGGAAGGTGATTGCTGGTGATGCCAAGCTGTGAACCAATGTCTCATCTGCCACTAAGGCATCCAAAGCAGTATGCACAGGAACTGCGCCGTGCCCTTCATGATGACCTTTCAGAATGCGATGTCTTGCTTGCAGGTGTAGACCACCACGAGAGCAGAGT